TAAAATTTAAATTAAAAAAGAAGATACAAGTTTATTCCTTCTATTTATTTCATAAAACCAACTGTTACGTTAACAATTGACTGCACCTTCTTTTTCCCAACATTAATAATTTCCTGGTACCAGAGTTGGTGACCTCTGGATCCCCAAACTGCTGCTAAGTAAGAAACTCTGACCCAACCTGATTGCTCTGGCCAGATCCCCATTTCCTTAGGTCGCTGCTGGCTGACTGGCTGACTAGTCTAACAGGCTAATTGGAGCTGTGTTGGTGACCAATATTGGTAAAAATAATTACTCTTTTTTGAGCTCTTAATCTGGGTCTGGCAATGTGCTGGCTACTTTATTTACATCTCATTTAACCCTCACACAATACAGTAATCTACTTGTGAATAAAGAACACTGATATTCAGAAAGGTTACATAATTTGGCTCAGGTTGTGGAGGAAGTGGCAACATGGGATTGAAACTCAGGTAGCTGGACTTGAAATTGACTATCGTTCCCCTCGCCCCTGCTGCTCCCCAGTAATGGCTTCATGTATAATCCTTTTCTATATTGTTTCCATTTTAATAAGGAATCTTCAAAGCTTTAAGCCAAACAGGGCCATTTCAGACCACCAGGGGTGACTTGGTTTTGGAAAAAGGATCCTTTGAGGCCCCCATGGGATCCCTCTGAATACAGTGGTGTCTGCTTTTGAATTATGCCTGTCAGGACTGAGAGTTATTTGCAGGCGTCCAACATGACCCTTGAATGTTTCCGATTCAAAAATCAATATCCACATTTCTGTCATGAACATCAAACTAAAATCAATAATTCACCCTGGAAAAAGTTAATGGTTTTTAAATCAGAGCCCACATTCCTGCTATCTGATCCCATCACTAACAGGAGACTTAAAGGTGTCAATAGCACGTGTAAATTTTTATATTAAGGTTCATAAATATGTAGACTTGTTTCTTGTAGTGATATTGATGATTTCATTCATCTTATTTGTTATGAAAATCTTTTCAATGACTGATTATCACAAGCCATGTCAACATCTATAGTTGAGTTCTAGGGAATTAAAAAACTCACGAAAGTCCTTTTCTGTGGAGAATGCTCGTTGACTGCTTAGGATACGCTAGGTAGAGTATGCCTTCCCTAGGGAATACCTCAGGTCATTTGAAATGGAGCAAAATGTAAAGCATTCCATTACTTTATTTGCGGATTACTTTTCTTAACCAGGCAACAACGACATCACAGAATCTTTAAAACACCTAGGAGTTACGTCAGTCGACTGGCAGATTGAATAAGATGAATGTTGTGTGTTCTTTCTCACCTGGTTTTCTAACAAGCAGACCTACTTTTTAGTGAGATGGATAATACACTCCTTGTCTTATAATTTCTTTGATTCTAGTTTTATTGCTTCTGTAGCTATCTCCTTTTATGGCTCAGATATAAACCTTTCTTTCAGATAAGAGAATGAGATAATTTAAAAAGTAAAAGGTCCACAACCCTATTACGTGGGTCCTTCTTACTTTGGTGAACAAAGAAACAGTTGCTGAGGTGGATCTATGGGCCCCTTGCTTTTTTGATTCTATCAACAAAATCTTCTCTGGTCCTTCCCCCCTCCTGCCTGTTGTCAATATCTGGTTGTATCATAGAGCCCTGAACCCCACCACGAGTCCATCCTGCCACCCCATCCAATTGCCCTTCCCTGCTGGCATCTCCTACTCTGTGGTATTAAAATCCTACTTTCACCACTTATCGGCCAGGATACTCTAGGAAAATTCCTTAATCTATCTGAGCCTCATTTTTCTCACTCACCTAAAGGAAAAAATAAACCTTTCTTGCAGGACTGTGATGAATTCAAGGAAACTAACACAGTGTAAGTTACCCAGCCACCTGCCTAGAGCAGAGTACTTTCACGAATGTGAGTTCCCTCCTGCCACCCCTTCTCAACACAGCGCTTCCCTGAGACCTGTGCCGCAGGGTCTGACTTGGGGAGGGACTGGCTTCAAGGAGGAGTACTCAAGTTGTGAGACAGAAGGGCGAAGCAAAGGAAGCAAAGGGAATTGAGCATTCATGCAGTTTGAGGTCTTTCAGCTGTGCTTCTGACTAGCTGAATTCCAAAATTTGACAGCAAAAAAACTAAGTAAACTCGTCTTCTCTAAGAGTTTTCTTTCCAGCCACTGACTTGAGAAGGCCCTTGCAATTTCAGCAAAGAGCAATCGGGACTCCAGACAGCCATTATGCTGCCCAGTTATCTCAGGGCCCATGTTGCTGGGAGAACAGTGGCTCCAAACAAAAAATACTGAGAGATTTGTCAATTCTGAGTGACTAATTTGACCTGTGTTAGCCAAGAAGTAGGCTTTTACGTTATTGAATAGAACTTTTCTTCACTAATTGGCTCTCCATCTTGTGAATGTGACTGGCTCAGAGGGTCGCCCCCCTCAGGCCTGGGCTCTGTGTGGTTCTGCAATTCATGTGGAAGCGTTCCTAAAACATTAGGCTCCCCCACCTTGCTGTTGAAGCCAACAGGTTTTCAACAGCCTCTTTGTTAGTGCTCTTTCATAATAATTTTGTCTGAGCTTGCTCAGGAAACATTCCAGGTCTACTCATAGGAGAGAATTTTCTAGTTTCAGTGCCTGAGGAGCTCAGTACATTATCCTTAATCTCTAAGACTCCTTCTTTCTTCAAATAATATAAGCAAGAATGTGAATGTATGGTCCAGGGTCAAATTTGGTGCAGGCATAGGTTTATTTATTCTTTTAATTGGATACACGGTGTTTATCCTCCAACATTTTTTCTATTAAATTTTTTACTATTTATACAACTGTGAACCTCATAGACCTACCTTCTAGAGTCAACCATTAACATTTTACTCTACTTGCCCTATCACTTACCTGTCCATCTATTCCTTTAGCCACCTATCAATCCTTATATTTTTATGCATTTCAAAGCAATTTTCAGACATTAGTATGCTGCATCCCAAATACATCAGTATATTAGAGTTTAATATGAAATGTACACATCTCAGGTACATATTTGCTTATTTTGACAAATGCATACATCTGTGTAACACAAACACTATCGATAGAGCATTAACACCTGTAGGAAGTCCTCTCATGTCCCCTCCCAGGCAATTTCCATCTGCAGAAACTACTATCTTCTGAATTTTTCCTGCCATAGATTAGTTGTGTCTATTCTAGAATGTCATATAAATGGTAAGTTCTTTTTGTGTAAGGCTTCTTCCAATCACTGTAATGTTTGTGAAATATATCCGTGTTATTACATGCTGAGTGCTACTCCATTCTATGATATACCACAGTTCATCCATTCTCCTGTTGATGAACACTAGGCCTGTTTCCGAGTTTTGTTTGTTTATTTATTTACTTATTTTTATAGATTTATTTATTTATGCATACAAGAATTGGGGTACAGGCCAGAAGTGTCGGGGGTGAGAGAATTCACCAGAGACAGAGTGGGGAACAGAACAGGCAGACCTACTGAAATACACTGCTGAGGGGAGCAGTGGGCGATCAGGAGAGGTCTGCTGCACCATGTGGGTTGCTCCCTGGCCGGGGATTGAACTCATGCTGCAGTGGCTGTGGATAACTTCATAGGTTGCATCTTAACCCCTTCCGCCACCAGGGAGGCCCCATTTTGTTTATTTATTTTTAAGATTATGCCAAACTGCTAAGAGCATCCCTGTGTAAGTCTTTCTTAATTTCTTTTTTTTTTATTAAGATTTATTTATTTACGAATACAAGAACTGGGGTATAGGCCAGAGGTGTAGGGGGTGAGAGGATTCACTAGAGACAGAGTGGGGGACAGAACAGTGGGATCCACTGAAATACACTGCTGAGGGGAGCAGCGGGCGAGAAACAGGAGAGGTCTGCTGCACCATATGGGTTGTTCCCTAGCCGGCAGGAGATTAAACTCATACTGCAGTGGCTGTGGACTGCTCCATAGTGCTGTGCTTAACCCCTTGTACCACCAGAGGAAGCCCTCTTTCTTAATTTCTTTAGGGTAAATACCTAGGAGTAGAATTTCTGGATCATAGTTTATAATAAAGTTTTACAAGAAACCACCAAAACTTTTTTCAAAGTATTTGTTTCCTTAACATTCCCACCATAATCCAGGAGCTCCAAACCCTAGCCGACATTTGATGTTATCAATCTTAACCATCTGGTGGGGCGGAGTCTCATTGTGGTTTTAATTTACATTCCCTTGGTGATTAATACATAGAGCACTTTTTTATATTATTAAACTTGTGATTTTACTGCAAATTTAATTAACATACCATCATTTCAAAATTGAGAGGTTTTTACATAGGTGATTCCCAGCTTTTCATAAAACATTAAAGAACCCAGCAAATATGAGCTCTTGTTTCTTTCCACATGGGAGCAATCACCAGAAGCTGAATGGTAGCTGGCTTTCCAAGGAGGTTTCTCTTTAGTTGCCCAGTATCCCTACCCCTCTTCTTACCTCGCCAACGCCTGAACTAATTATCAATTGCCAGACATCATCACATTTGCAGTATTTCCTGCCCATTAAGAGGTAAATGAGCTATTTCTCAAGATGTGTCATTATCAATATTGGAAAAATGAAAGATCAAGTGGACCTTATATTTTAAAAGAGTTTTCTGTGTCAATGAAAAAAAAAAATAGTCCTACAATGTTTAATATGTAAATTAAATGGGTCTATTTGAAAGATTACAATTTTAGACTCTAAAATCAAACTGTCTGATTTAGTTCATTTTAATTATCTGCCTGGTCCCTGTAGGATTTTGAGTTTGCAACTCCAATAATGGAACACATAAACTGATAAATTATGTCTCAAGACTACACTAACTGGGAGCTGTTTAGATATATAAAGAGATCTAATTTCACGTCCTTTACTGAAAAGGAGGGAGGTGAATCATTCCACTAATACTTCATTGAGAATACTTCAAGTGTTATAAAATATTGCAACTAAAGAAAATTGTTTCATTTTCTTAAATTCTATCATTTTTCTTTTAATTCCAGGATTGTAAGTGGAAAATGTATATGGAGATGGATGGGGATGAAATTGCAATAACCTACATCAAAGATGTGACATTCAACACTAACCTACCTGATGCAGAGATTTTAAAGATGACAAAGGTAGGGTTCTATTTACGGCTTAAAAGCTTTTTTGAATTCACAAATATCAAACAAAGACATTAAAATACCCCAGCAGTGTACTTTTGTGCTTGTCGATGCTCACATCAGCTCAGCCTCAAGCTGGCTGTTGAAAGGCACATTTTATTTAGCAGACTGAGATCATAATAGTTTTTTGTTAAAATTCCACTTATTCTGTGAGAACTAAAAAGTATTGCAATAAAGTATCCTTCACTTTTTGTTATTTTCTTCTACATTTCTTTATGCTTATTCTGTCATTTATTAAAAGAAAGAAAATGCTATGAGGAAAATATTTACCTTGGATTTGGGGTCATTTTAAACTTATGAAATGTATGAAAAACTAGTAAGGGAGAAGGTTTTCTTGGTTGTGTTCAGTGTCTTGAAGGACTGACATGAGGTTACTCATGAGGCACAAGTTGAAGTCTTAATGGCTTCCTTGCACCCATTCCTATGAAAACGTGGAATGGCCAGGGAGTATGTTGATGCCTTAGGGTCCATACAGAAGTGTGCCCGTTAGAACACTGAGGAAAGACTTAAAGAAATGCTTAGCTTCTCCTCAAAAAAAAATTCTGTCCCCATTCTACTGAAAGTATACATGTGAGACTTCTGATGTAGAAGGTCAATGGCTTTGGGTGAATAACCTTGATGTCAATAGCACCTTTGCCCTGAACTTCACATAAACCATTGAGCCTCTCCAAGATGTCCATAACAGACCTTGTCAAAATGTTTTATTTGACATGAGGATTATTTTGAACTGAAGTTAATCAAGGCCCTGCAGGATCCCTAGAAATATCTACTATTCCCTTAATTACCTAGCTGGATGAAAATTAGGGATATTACCCAGAATTAGGATTTTTACCAGAACTAAGCTGTCAGAAAAACCTACCTATACGATAGGGCAAGCATTTAATTACAGAGCATCTGAAAAGGAATTGCTAAACAAATAAATCTTTCCTGCTAAAGGGTCTTAGGCCTGGTGCAGTAAATAATCCAATGCAATTGTAAATAACAAGTTTGCTTACTTAGTAAACCTTTCCTTAGAGAGCTTTCCATCTAAGTTTTAACTTATCTAAACGAGGTTACATTTTAACAAGGTTGGACAGCCAGCCAAGCTGATTTATCTCTCAAAGGACATCCCCAGATGTCCATCTTTCCCCCTTTGTCTAGGAGTTTTACATCAAATATTTGTGCTTGCTAACCAATGTTATCAATGTAAGATGGTTGTGTATAAAAGAAACCCTTTGTCTCTACATTGGTGCTCAGACCTTATGGGACTGCCCAGGTCTGAGACCTCATGCATAAGTAATAAAGCTTCTCCTAACCATGGGCCTCCCCGGTGGTGCAGAGGATTGAATGCCTCACTGTGAAGCTGTCCTCAGCCTCTGCAGCACGGGTTAGATTCCCGGCTAGCCAGGGAGATTTCCACATGGCACAGCAGCCCTCTGCAGTGTCTTTGTTACAGGGCAGCCCCAATATAAAATGGTCTTGAGACCTAGTGCGCATATGGTTGTTATAGGACAGGAGGAACTTCCCCCTTTCCTGGGGACCACCCTGTTACATGGTGACCAATGCAAGGAAAGTTACTTTGGGCTGGTCAACCACGGGTGTAGCTTAGAAACCACGTTGGGTGCCAAACTGTTACAGGGCAGCCCCGATATAAAACGGGTAGCCTGGCTGTGGGTCCTCACCCATGCGCTTAAAAGGGACTTAATAATACTCCACTGCAGGCACACATAAAAGGTTAATAAAAGGTTTATTTACAAGGGAAGGGGAAATGAGGAAATGTACAACTCAGGGAGAAATAGGGAAATAAAGTCTTAAATGCATCCTACCTGTTCCGCCGACCTGGAAACCCAATGGCACTCTGAGAGCTGGCCACGAGCCAAGAGCCATGAAGCCAAAAAGCCCCCCCAAGACCCACATGTTTGGTTTTATACCAAACCTGGCTGCTTAACTCCACCTTCAGGTTCCAGCAACCTTCCCTTTGGTGGTGATGGGATTTGTCTTTCCCAATGTCCTGATGGCTTTGGTCTGGATTGGGGGGTGGAGTCCACAAAGCCTGTATGGAATTAGCTTAGGACATCCTTTTCCCCCTAACATCTTCAGTCCTTCTGCCTGTTCTGTTCCCCACTCTGTCTCTGGTGAATCCTCTTATCCTCCCGTGCCTCTGGCCTGTACCCCAGCTCTTGTACAAAAATAAATAAATCTTTAAAAAAAAAAAAAAAAAGCTTCTCCTAATCTCACCATTCCTGATGTGCTGCTTATTCTTCCCTTGCCTGGGTAAAAGGCTAGAATTTATTTCTGCAACACATCTGGTCTTCATCATATAAGACATCTTCTCTTTGTCCTGTGATTTCCCCTCCTCTCTCCTTGAAGTCCCAGGCCTCTACCCCATTCCTGAGCCTAGGATATATACTCTCATTTGCCTCACTTGAAATAGAATTCACAGCCATGTAGATTCTCCATAGGTATGTAATTAAAGTTGTTCTTTTCTTAATCTCTCTACTGTTAATGTTATTGCTGGACCAGTCTGAGAAGAACCCTAATGGCTGGGGGAAATTTTGCCTCTTCCCGACACCATTATCTAGTCTGGTACACTATTAACCATGTATTTGGTTTCAGTGAAGAAAATGGGTTGGTAGCAAAGACCCAGGCTTCAAACACAAATGGGGAAGTGAAAAGAGACTTCCAAGCCCAAAGCATTAGACTTGCAAATGTGTTTCCTTCACTGGCGTAAGATTGCTACACCCAAGTCCTTTTCATTTACAAATATTCATCAAGTAGATCGATTTGATTCTCATTGTTGTATTCCCCAGAGTACCTGGGAGTTAATCCATGGTGTTACTTATCTGGGAAGGTTATGATGTGGTTGTAGTTTTCCCTTATTTTGTTGTGACATATTGTGTTTTGGTGTCTTGAAGAAAGGACAGATAACTTTCTCTTTCCTCCCCACCTGTATGGTCTCCGGTTGCAACAGTTGTTCATTGCTTCAGTGTCATTTAGAAGCAAGATTTAAGTCATTGTTGCTAACAGAAGGAAGTTGCTCAGAGCAGAAATAACAGAACTTGTTATAAAACCACATGCAGGTGTTTCTGCTATAATGTGGTATATGCATTTCTTCAGAACCATGTCCTAACACAAGATCACATGCCAATATTAACAGGGCTTGTAGGAGAAATAGGATTGGAGCTAACTGTTCAAAATCTATGGAACTTTTTTACTAGCAGAAACAACAACAATTCTAATTTAAAAAGCAAACAAACAAAACCCAGCCCAGTCAAATTTCTACCATATTTGCTTTGTATCCAGCTCACCACCAGCCAGTCAAATTTCAGCCTTAAACCTGGAATGAAAGGGGGAGTGGGGCCTCCCTGGTGGCACAGGGATTAAAGTCTCAGTGCTACTGCCAGCCACTGCTGCATGAGCCACTGTGATATGAGTTTGATCCCCAGCCAGGGAGAATAACCCATATGTGCAGACAGATCTCTCCTGTCTCACCCGCTGCTCTGCCTGTTCTGCTCCCCACTCTGTCTCTGTGAGCCCTCTCTCTTCCCCACACCTCTGGCCTTCACCCCGGTTCTTATATGCATAAATAAGTAAAAAATAAATCTGGGCCTCCCCTGGTGGCATAGCGGTTGAGCGCTGGGTTGCGAGGCTGCCCGCAGCCTCTGCAGCTCCAGTTCGATCCCCAGCCACTGGCAAGGGTCCCACTAAATAAATAAATAAATAAATAATTTTTTCTTTTTAAAGAAAGGGGGAGTGGAGAAGGGTGGAAAGTCACTTCTAATAAAGACTATTTTCATCAAAATTTAAATAGGGTGGAAAATACAGTTTTCTCAGGAGCACTTTGATTTAATATACTGAAGAAATGTGGCCACAATTTCACCTACACACACAGTTTTGCCGAATAGACTGAGAGAGTAAAAGTAGAGTGGTGGTTGTGTTGGGGGTGGAGTCCACAAAGCCTGTATGAAATTAGCGCAGGACATCCTTTCCCCCTAACGATTGGAGCCACAGAAGCAGCCACAGCTCCCACTCCATGCCTGGACCTTCTCATATTGTTGAAGGCTTCTCTTCATTGTGGGGAAGCTTTCCACAGATGTTTCAAAACATTAGCATGAATGATGACCTAATGATAGGTTTGAGTGATATTGAATGCTCTGTCAGTAAAGAAAAGATTGTGGGAGACCAAGACTAGCTGTTTGCAAATATATGAAAGGCTGTCTCATAAAAACCACAACCCCAAACTCATGTGGTGAGCAGTACATGCGAGCCAACATAGCTTCCGTGGTAATTGGACATTATGCCCATTTGTCAGCTCCATGTGCACAACTGACCTCAAAGAAACCTATGCTGTAGGAGAGTGGGCTGTATGTACTATGGCAAGAACCCATCCTGACTTCTGTTTTTCAGCCCCCGTTTGTAATGGAGAAGTGGATTGTAGGAATAGCGGAAAATCAGACCGTAGAATGCACTGTCACATATGAGGTAAGCTCGGTGTGGGTGGGGGTTGGCGGGGAATGGTGGCTTTACCTTTCATCTCTTTTATTTATTTATTTATTTGTTTGTTTGTTTGTTTGTTTGTTTTTAATAGAGGCATGTTTTATTTATTTGTTTGTTTGTTTGTTTGTTTGTTTGTTTATACATGCACTGGGTACAGTCAGAAGTGCGGGAGGGTGAAAGAATTCCCCAGAGCCAGAGCGGGGAGCAGAGCAGGCAGAAGGACCGAAGTACACTGCTGAGGGGAGCAGCGGGCGGCAGGAGAGGTCTGCGCGCCATGTGGGACCCTCCTCTGGTGGCCGGGGAGCAGCCGGGAATCGAACCAGCGCCGCAGAGGCCGTGGGCAGCTTTGCAACCCAGCGCTCAACCGCTGCACCACTGGGGAGGCCCTACCTTTCATCTCTTGATGGGGATTTCTTTGCTCCCTCAGAGAGCTTATAATAGATTGGGAATGAAATTGCCCAATATGAACATGGGAAGATCAGTATGTATATATACATATATTTATACATGTATATGTATATATTTATACACACACACATATTTACTCTAACAAAGCATTGGCAAGGAAGAAAATAGGTTGATGTTGAGCCAGTAATTCATTCATCGCTGAGTGGTTAAACATTAATGCAAGTCACATGATATGTTAGGCACTGGGGAAGCAGACAAAAATCACAATATTTATTTAGCTTCCTCAGCCAGTGTGCAATGCTTATGGAAGAGGCACCTGAGAAATAGCATTGAATGTCACAGCATAGCTTGCAGAACACAAAACTTAAACAAAAGAAGTCAATTGGTCTTGGGAACTGAAATCTAAACTACTCTGGAATCTATTAACCAGGTTCCATGACTCAGGAAAAAATCCTGTTTTTAATCACTGCACAGTGACAGCAGCCAGAAGTCACCTCTGCCCACTCAGGCAGGTCTAGAGACACACCACATCAAATTTTTTCTCCCTCACCTCTCTCCTTCCTTACTTTCCTCTTCCTCCTCTCTCTCAGACTCCATGACGATATGTCACTTGTGTCCACAACTGTTACTTTTGGGTTTCTTAGACAGATTCGCAAAACCTTATTGAATCCTAAGAGCTTCTTTATTCTCATTTGTCACACCTAATAAAGAGGGGTTTCAGGACTAGAAAGTGGGGTCTCCTGATTGAGTGTCCTTTCCTTTTTCTGATCCTGATTCTTAACTCCATCCTGTCTCTTTTTTGTATCTGTTATGTACCCTCCTTGGGGGTAATCAGTCCCACGAACCTACCCACACTGACCAGTTACCATGATTAGCAGGCATATTGTTGGGGAGAATGGCAGTGATTTTCAAGTATCCAACAAATATTACTTTTTCAAGTACTATTAATAGAAGAAATTATTTTTCACATCTTATTAAGTGAAGAGGTAAGTTGAGATTTGCCAAAAGCAATAAATTCTAGGAGAAGACAATCACATTTTTAATTACTAGAACCCATTAAGGGATGGAGTGTCATGCTCCATTAAGGAATAAAGTGGTTAATATTTTCATTTTAATCAAATTACCATTTTTAGGCAAACTGAACAAATATTTTACGTACTGCATTATGGTAAAGTTCTAAGGATGTAATAACCTGACTTCCTTTCTTTCCTGTTTTACAAATGTATGCATGTTTGGCCATGAGTTTCTCTCTTTTCTTTGTAGAGTGATGTTAGAACTCCAAAAAACACAAAACATGTCCATTCAATTCAGTGGAGCAGAATGAAACCCGAGGATGAAGTGAAAGCAGTCCAACTTGCCATTCAGACATTAAGTCTCAACTCGGAGGGCAACCCTCGGAGCAGATCTGACTCAAGTAAGTTAGATGACTAGACGAGAGTCCAGAAACTTAAATCCTTACACCAGGGGTAAGTGCCAATCTGTGAAAAGACGTGGATTTCTTTCTTTTCTTTTTTTTAAGATTTATTTATGCATACAAGAGCTGGGGTGTAGGCCAGAGGTGCAGGGGTGTGGGGGGAGAGAAGATTTACCAGAGACAGACTGGGGAGCCGAACAGGCAGATCTACTGAAATACACTGCTGAGGGGAGCAGTAAGCAAGACAGGAGAGGTCTGCTGTGCCACGTGGGTCACCTCCCTGGCTGGGGATCAAACTTGGGCTGCAGTGGCTGTGGATAGCTTCATAGTGCTAAGACTTAACCCCTTGTGCCCAGACATGGATTTCTAATACAATACTACTTCCTTCTAATTTTAGAATATTGGCTTTATAAACAGATTATATGCAAAGTAGTATCTATGGACTTATAAATATGAGCATATTATAATAAATTTCAATTTCTGGATAACTATGAAAAAAGATGAAAATTAATGATTACATATTATTGGTAAATAAAAGTATGTATGGGTTTTTCTATACCTATATGCTTAGTTTCCAAAAGTGTACCTGTAGAAAAACATATAAATCTTCTTCCATATCCAGCAAACATTTCTATAAATGCTTATCACTGAGACAACTTCTTGAATCGTGAATGCCATTGAATACATCAAAGCAAAGGAATGAAAAGGAAGGAAGGAGCAATGGAGGGAAGGAGGGGGAAATATGATGTACAGTGGTGGTGGTAATTATGAATGATATCCAGAAACACTTTAGGGGCCTCTTTGATGGCACAAGGGGTTAAGCACTATGAAGCAATCCGCAGCCTCTGCAGCACGAATTCGATCCCTGGCCGGCCAGGGAGCAACCCACATGGCACAGCAGACCTCTCCTGTCTCGCCCGCTGCTCCCCTCAGCAGTGTATTTCAGTCAGTCTGCCTGTTCTGTTCCCCACTCTGTCTCTGGTGAATCCTCTCACACACACACACACACACACACACACCACCACCCCCCCACACCCCCCCACCCCAGTATCTCTGGCCTGTACCACGGCTCTTGTATGCATAAATAAATAAATCTTAAAAAAAAAAAAAAGAAACACTTTAGGATAATAATATAGAAGGTCAGCTGATTTGCTTTTAAATTGGTCATTTTTGGCAGTTTCAGGGGAGAGGTTCTGACCTCCACCTTTGTAAGTCCAGAAACTCTGAAAAACCCAGAGTTAGATTCTACAGGACTGCAGCAAGCTAACGAATCCATAGGACATTGATCCATAAATCTGTATCAGAAGATTTGTTGATGGCACAGAAACAAAGCACCCTCAGTAGCACCCTGGTGCTACTGACTTAGGAGAATCTAGTTGCTGTTTCCTCCACTGTAAGGCCTGGCGTGCCAAGCAGACCAGATATTTTTAAATGTCCACTGGCTATGTGCCCAGAAGCCCTGTTACTATTCAAAATCCACCAGTGAATTCTTTGATAGCATGCTGGGTCTTTCTTCCTCTCTCTCTTTTTTTTTTTTTTTTTCCAACAGAATTGATTTGGTTATTTTTTTTCATGAATAATTATAAGAAGACATTCTGACCACCATGATTGGGCTTGACTGAGTTTTTACCAAGCTCTCTCAGCCACAAACACATTTGCAAATATCTCTTAGGGTGTGCTTTTTCTACAAATGACTAACCTACGTAGCAGGGATTGAGTCCCACTGGCTTCCCTCTCAGAAGGCACTCTGTTTCCAAGTTCTCTTATGTGCTAATTCAACCACCTTGTCTTGCTTCATGCCTTTAAAGGCTTCTTACTGAATTGATTCATTTCCTCTTTCTAAATAATTAATATTTCTAGGGCTCATTTACTTCTGTGGTGTTTTCATAGTGAGGATCCTATTTGATCACACAGGTTGGTGAGATCTGGAGTGGTCTTCTTTCTCTACTTCTGCTGTGCTTTTCCCTTTCACCAAAGTCTGCTTTTCTGTCTTCCAACCCATGTGACACAAAATAGCTGCCAATTCTTTCCTCATTTATACATAGTTCAAATCCCACTTTAGAGTCACCAGATAGACACTCATCAGTCCTAATCCCAGATTTGCAAGACCAAGGAGCTCAGCGAGGCCCACCACGGAACTCTGAACCATACAGACATGATTCAGGCCCAAGGGAAGCTTCCGGGTGTGAGGAACTTGATTACTCACTGAGATACAGCTCACTAAGTGGCTCTTGTTAATTAATCATTTTCTTCTGCTATCACCTCTTGCTCTTTGCCATGAAGCTTCATTTTTCACACAGGAACATTTCTTATTCCTGAATGCCAGGAATCACTCCTCTGAAGGAAGGAGCAGTCAGCTGTCCTTCTTCCAAACAATCTCTAGCTGCCTCAACCAATGGAACCCAGTTTATTCTATTTGCATTTATGATTCTTGAAGATTTAAAAGTGCTGTTTATCGAAAAGTTTTTTGTTTACTAAACATACCCCTGCCATCCAAAACACACTTCCACAGCAAATTGTAGAAATGAAAACATGGGGTACGGGATGGTAGGGAGAGGAAGATGGAGTCTGGATGCAGAAAGACTGATCCACTGAGTGGCCTGGAGCAAGTTGCTTGACCACCAAAGCTCCAGCCTCCTCATTTATAGAAGTAAATTTTTAGTATTTAATTGAGAAGAGTATTGGAAAGACTAAATGAGATAATGTTCTAAGCAAAGCCTATGGAACAATGCATATAGCATGTATTGAGTGCAAATACTCTTATTTTTAAAAATGTATGTGTCACAATAAAGGAAAAATCCTGATACCTAGGATTTCTATGAATGGGAAAGCTTAAAGCATCCCAAACAGGCTTATGAATTAGCACGCTGCTTTACTGTGGCTTAAAGGATGCTCATTTCCATTTCTTGTGCAGGTGCCGACTGCCAGTGGTTGGATACTCTGCGGCTGCGGCAGATCGCATCCAACACCTCTCTGCAGCGCTCCCAGAGCAACCCCATTCTGGGGTCGCAATTCTTCCCGTTCTTCAATGACCAGGATTCCTACGCGGCTGCGGTGAGGCGGACCCAGGTGCCCATCAAGTATCAACAGATTATACCTATAAACCAGTCCAGAAGCTCCTCCCCTACTCAGTACGGACTAACCAAAAACTTCTCTTCTATACATCTCAACTCCAGGGACAGTGGCTTTTCCAGTCTTAATACCGACAACTCTTCCGAGAGGGGTCGATACGCAGGCAGAAGCAGGACCAAATATGATCGGGGTAGTGTGTCACTCAATTCCTCTCCTAGAGGACGGTACGGTGGGAAAAGTCAGCGTTCCACGCCCTCAAGAGAAAGATACTCTGGAAACTTCTATGGTGTTTCTCAGTCTGAACTCAATACTCAGCAGTCACCTGACTTCAAGAGAAGCCCGAATGATCGCCGTCCATCCAGGTCCATCCCAGGGATGCCTTTGCACACTGAAACTGACACAAAAGCCGCTGAAGAAGAGAACAAAGTCAGCGAAGGGGGATGGACAAAAGTGGTTTACCACAAGAAAGCCCACAGGCCCACTCCTGCCAAAACTAACAAAGAGCGAGCTAGAGGAAACTATCGCGGAAGGAGAAACTTTTGATGATCTGAACTAGATGAGTTTTTCTAAAAGAGCTTTTTTTTTTTTTTAATTAGCAAAAAAAGACAACTATTGCATTTATTGGATTTGGGAAAGATCTAATTGAGACCAAGCTAAATTTTGGGCCAAAATCATGGATGTGAGTGGCCCAAGTGATGATAAATAGACTTACACATAACTATCCATACTTCCCCTCAAAACTCAAGTTTTAGAGGCAGAAACATGCCATCATTTTACCCTAACTATAACCTTCTGGTTAGTAGGCCCCGGGCTAGGGCCAGATGATGTGGTAGCACTGGTCCTGTGTGCAAACTTTAGGGGAACACTAAAAAGAACAGCAATCAAGATGAATAATATTCTAATGCTGTGTTCAAATAAATGAAAATTAATGCAAAACATCTTTGATACACAGAAATTCAAAATTCTAGGTAAAGACAGAATCAGCATTCCTGATTTTTACTTTTGTCTAAGGTTCCAATATGGAGTGGCACGGCACTGTTACTGATCTGTGTTTATTTAAAATGTGACATTTTATTCCTCGTGAATTTTTTTGCATTAATTTTGTTTTAAAAAAAGGTTGCATTGGATATTAGTTATTTTGATTACTGAGGGATTTTTTTTTTTTTTTTTTTGCTTGTTTGTTTGTTTTTTAATGCCCTCTTAAATTTCACACCCAAAGCAAGCACCTCACTTGCCTTTCTTCGGTCTTGACACCGCTGGTTTGTATTTATTTTAGTAAGATATTTGGGTTTTTGTCATGGTCAGAACTGATTTGGTTTGTGATTTTCAGGCAATAAAGAGGTTATTGAACTTAATGTTGATTATGATGCCTCTCATTCATTAACTTCATCAGAAACCAAAGATCTAAATTGCCTAGGAGATCTATGGTGCTTTCTTTCCCTGAGCTTCCAAGTATGCTTTTGAATATTATTTCCTACATTTTACCAAAGGAAGAGCAAAGAGGGAAAATCACCGTCCATACGGACCTCTTAGAATATCAGAAATTTAAAATCTAAAACAAAACAAAACAAAACAAAACCAGACACAGGGCATGATAATGATGTCACAGGCTCAAAGCCAGAGAAATTTAAAATTACCAACATCCTTGTTAGAGCAAGACAGTAAATACCATCCTTGCAGCAAGAAAACTCTAAGCAGCTGGGGGTAAAGAGGTAGCCGGTGCGGGTGGGAGGAAACTGCCTGCAATTTAGGGCAGGAATTGTAGGATCCAACTTGTGAAATTCTTCATATTTTACAAATCAGGTGGCAACAAACTTACATGTCAAGTAAATATTACTTTCAGTATATTGAGAGCCTGTTCAACATTCACTAACCCTGAATAGCAAGTGTCCTTTACCCTGCCTAGTATTCTCAATGCTCTGTAGAATCGAGTGACACACTGGTAATTCTGTGGGGCTGAGTTCTCTTTTAATAGAAACCAGTCATCAAGTATGTGCGTATATTCTCAGAAGATCAGATGCCCGGCTCTGACACAGTGCACGAGGCTTGGTGGAGAGTTTTATTCGAGTAGCACCAAAGTCAAGGTTATAGGAAATAACCCTTACAAGGGAAGCTATGACCTAAGTGTCAATTCAATGCTTTGATTTTATAAATCTTATTATTTGTCATCTGCGTTTACCAGCAAAAGCAGTGAGAAATTCTGAAATCAAAGAGCTCAGCACTCTTCCATCGTGGATAACCACGTTCTCTAAGGTTTTAAGCTCTGCTGTGATCTCCAGTCATGAAACATAATCAACCACAGTCTATTTTTAGTTATTCCATTCTTTATTTGTAAATTGTTTTAATTTAAAGTAAATTGGACTAATACAAAAAATGTTCTCTTAAGAACATATTTCTTCCAAATAAGCAATAAAATATTTTTTTGATTAGATTTTGTGATAAGTAACTGAACACAGACTCTTCACTGAGTGTCTCTGGAAGAAACACAAAGTAAGGCTTTAATTATTAAACAAAAACGTGCAGTCTGTGAAACTGTTTAAGACTCTAGTTTGAAAGGTATTTCCAAGTGATTGCTTGTTTCATGCTGTTTTCCCCTCTTCTTGCTTTCTTGGGCCATGGACTAGAGAATCCAAGCTGGTAGCAAAAATGACAGACTTATCTCTGCCCTATTGGTGTAGTAGCAAATCACAAAAATGTTATTCCAAAAGACCAGGAAAATGACCACTTTGTAATATCTCATGGAAAAACTACCTGTCAGCATCTATACTTCCAGTCAAAACTGAAAATCTGGTCAAAAAGGGATAATAACACTTGGATGTTGTTTCTTTTTCTCTCTTTTACTTAATGGTGCTTATTCACCAAAAGTTGCTTGTCAAGAACAAGGCAAAAATTAACCTGATTTTTGTTTCCATCAAACTAAAGCAGTTGCTAAAGAGGAAGGACTATATAACTTGCAAGCACCTGAAATTACTACTTCTGAAACTGGTATTTAAAAAAAATTTTTTAAGGGTATTTTAAGAAAAAAAAGTGTGGTAGAGCTGGAGATTATCAAGAACTACTTTAGAAATAAAAATAAACTGGCAATTGTTTTCAACCAATTCATGAATATAGTTCATAAAAAAATCTTAAAGCTATTCATCGTAAAATTTAGAAAAGTAAAATCTGATCCAGAAAATTTAAATTAAGAAACAATAACCACAAAAGAAAAATCACAGAGGCAAGTGATGGTAAAATCTGGTATAAACCAAAAAAAAAAAAAGAAGAAGAAGAAGAAGAAAAAGACATTAAAATTTTCATTGTAGGACTCCCTAGTTGACCAAGGGGTTAAGACGAAAACCTATGAAGCTGTCTGCAGCCTCTGCAGCACAAGTTTGATGCCTGGCCAGGATGCTACACACATGGTGCAGCAGACCTCTCCTGTCTCGCCCGCTGCTACCCTCAGCAGTGTATTTCAGTGGATCTGCCTGTTCTGTTCCCCACTCTGTCTCCGGTGAATCCTCTCACCCCCCACACCTTGGGCCTTGTACCCCAGTTCTTGTATGCATAAATAAATAAATCTTTTCTTAAAAAAAATGGGATAACAATTTTATTATTTTGGACAGAAAGTCAGGAAATTAAATTGACATAATGACTTTGACTCCATGGAATTTTTCCTTGACAAAAACATTTCTTAATAGTTATATAACATTGATCCAAATATTTTATTCATAGAGTCAAAAAGTCCTTAACTCATAACAGCTAGATCAAAACACCTAGTAGTTCAAAATGGCCAGGTCAGAAGATGCTGGCCATAGGTCAGGCATTCTGACTTAACCGAAGCTTTTCTACTTCAGATGTATCAAATTATCTTACAAGCCTTATAAGTACCTTCTCTACAATTTATCATTTCACCTCAACAAATCAATACGATATGGCATACTTCTGAAACTGACTTTCAAAAACTGCTCTGTTACAAGATACTGTGATTTGGTTGTACCAACTTGTTCAGCATGCTACATTACTGAAACTTTAAATTATTGACACTGTATTTAGGAAGTTTATAAAATCCCTGTCATTCTTGGATTTGAGAAACAAGAGTTCAGACAGGGTGTCCCAGGAAGTTAGAGCATAACATCTAGACTCAGTTCTGTTTATTAGCTATTGCTGGAACTGGTTGGTTTATGAGATTGTGAAGGTTGAAAAGCCAAATCACAAATCAAAATTGCCAAGGCTTTCATGTAACAGGCACCAGTGACTTCTTAGTCCTTTCCCTTTGACTAATCAGCTAGCCAAATAATGCATGACCGAATCAAGAGAGTGAGAGAATGAAGGCTGTGACCTCAGAGTCCACTTAAAACTAAAATCAAGATTTATTCTCCATAGCCAATGCCCCACTTAATCAATTGTCCCAAAGAAATTCCTTTCCTTCCTCCTAGATGAATCTCACTCAGCCCTCAAGGTCCAGCTGACATCCGACTTCCCCCAAGGCCTCCCTCCAATGGCCCATTCCCCATTCTGTTCTCCTCTTGGGGACCTTTATCACAGTCTCCCGTACACCATCACTTAATCCTTGCCACCCCACTCCCTTGAAGGTGCTCTGTGAGAACAGTGCATGCTGCCCAAGAACTTGATGAAAAGGAAATAACACTAACCTCTGAGAATTCAATCCCTTGCAACACCCGCCAGGCCTGAAAAAGTGTTTGTAAATCAGATTAGAGGTATGAACATGATGGTGTGGGCTTGGGACAGTCAGAGGGGATAAGTGTTGGAAGCCCAGAGTAAGGTGATCCACCAAAGAAAAGGTTAGCCTGCTAGGTCTTTACACAGCATATAGTCTGCTGTCTCACTCATAGAGGCCCTAGAGTTTGCAAATATTGTCCTGTAGAGTCCCTCCCAAGTGAAAATCCATTCAGTCTGAGAAATAGACGCCTGTTGTGGAGATGGCCACATGCTCCAGCTGCTGTTTACCTCTTCTGCATCACCATTTGCCTCTCCCCACATGAAATACCATTTGTAGACATATTGGACTAACACCATGCACTCTCTGGTCTCCAAAACGTTTACTCCCTCCATCCAGCTTTCCCTGCATTGTCTGGTTAAGTCAGCCTTCAATGCTTAGCTAAGATATGGCTACTTCCAGGAAACATCCCTGAACCCCAGGCCTGAGTCAGGCCCTTCCTTAGGTGTTTACCTTTTGGTTTCTCAATCATATTATCCCCCTCTGTGGTAATGGTCCCCAAATTTGCTTGTCTGTATGCCTCACTACTGCAGGGACCGTGCCTATCTTGATCACCGATGTATCTATAACACTTAGTTGGTGCTCAATCTATTTGCTGGATGAATGCATTAACTGGTTCATTTATTCATCATGCTAACAAACTATCATATCATCTGGATTCTTGTTCTAATCCCGTACTTATTAAGTGACCTTAACAGAAGTTTCTAATCCACTGTAGAGTTATATTGCTGGTATTAAAATAATTGCTAGTCTGAATCTATGCATCAGTCTCTTGTGAGTTTTGTCACTGCGAGCTGGCCATGAGCACAACTCTGAAACACTTATAGGTTTGAGGGCTTATCACTGAGAGCCAATTCGGGGTGTACCAAGGGCCTCAAGAGAGAAGTGTGTCTGTTTTCCCCAAGAAACAGCCCCTTGTATCATAGTGAACTGTTCTCACTTTCTATTTTGAATTTCTACCTCTAGTATAACACTATAAATGCAGGCTTTCAATCAAAAAATTGTCACAGGAATAAGTAAGAATAGAAATACTACGTATTTTCAAGAAATTGACAACTAGATGTTGTCATTTTAGACATTTATATAATCTTACTACATGGTTTTTTCCCCCTAAGGCTCCAAAATTCTTTTCTTTTAATGAATATCATCTGTACCTAATCCCGTCGCCCTCTGCTGTCCCACTATGACTGTTTCTAAAAGTACATAAAGTTTTACTGAAAGTCTGACCTGGCAATTTTACTTTCTTGTACCCAAAGACACCAGGCACACTTTTGAAGCCAGATGATGCCTGTTGGGGCTGAGACTGGGGGAGGTTTAGTGTTGGTGCAGGGACAATTCAAGATTTGTCAGCTGGTTGTGGCTGATTATCAAGATGTCCAAACTGGCTCCTTTGCTATGTGTAAGCAATTTAATTTTGTGCCTAATTTTAATCTGCAGTGTACTGTATGTCTGCATCTGCTGTGTTAAAGCATTCATTAGCATTTAAAGGGGGAGCTGATGGTATTGATCACTCTTATTAAACCAAAAACAATCATGCAGCAGTATCTGATGAGCATTCTCTTCAACCACTGAAGTCACAGCCAAAGTTTATGTACTCAAAACACCGGCAGAAACAGAAAATGTGATTTTAAAGAAGGGAGATTAAAGTGGCATCTGTTATATGCATTTATGGTTTGCTACAACCCACCCCACCCCCAGCTTCCCAGATTATGAGCTTTTTTTCTTTTTTCCTGAATTTCTCCTACCAGGCGCAGAATGATTTTTCAGTGAATTATTGGATGAGTGAATAAATTAAGGAATGAAGGTGAACATCCAGTGCATGTTAAAGAAGCACTCTACAAGACCAACTATAATTTTTCTTATAGACTTTATAACAGCTATGTATAGTAAGTAAAAAATCACCTTGAAATGTAGTAACATAAGAATAAATATCTGTTATCTCAGTTTCTGTGGTCCAAGAATTCAGGATGAGCTTATCTGACTGGAGCTGCATTGGGTTTCTGAGGAAGTGTCAAGTT